AAATGGGTGGGAGAGTGGTCGTTTAGGAGTACCATTTCTGGGTGGCGGAGCAGTAATTTCTCAAATATTTTGCCTCTGGCATTAATCAATTTCCCGCCCCACATGGTATTATGTACGTTGGCATCGGTGGCAAGGATGCGTAGATTTTCAATTATTTCATTGCAGCTTGTGGTTGTGTGGGGCAGTATGTACAGATTGCATATATTTACTTTTTGTTTATCGTATAAGATTATTTCCCCAGCCACTGCCTGTCTATTTCACCAAATTATAATTTATTACTTAACGTTTACTTTAGACAGACTTATACATAGAAATTACGATCTAATCTGACTATTTAATTCATTCAAAGAGCCGTGAAATATGTATTACGATATTGATAAGGAAACGAAGCAGTAAACTCCAATTTGATTCATTTGAAAAAGTTGAATGTCGGTATTAAATTAAGCAATAATTTGTTAATCAAATAATCTTGATTCGGGACCAACGTCGAAATGATTAAACATCTTCCACCAACAGGGAAAATACCAATATAATACCATACTAGAACAACACAACTACCCAGAAGAATGGAAAGAAGCCCTTATAATACCTATCCTGAAAACAAATAAAAACAAACTGACACCATCCTCGTACACCCATCTCCCTTACTAGTCAATGTCGAAATTCACTCGAAAAAGCAATGAAAACCGCATTTTTATTAACATCAAATGACATGATTCGTGACCAAAAGTCGCGTCATAAAAAGTGGCAGACATTACTTTGACACAGGAATTTGCCCGGCAGACATATGTAGTATTGTCAGGGCAGACATTATCTACTTTTAAAAAAAAATTTCGCTAAATTCCGTGATGACGTAAGCGCGACTGTTTTTTATACCCCTTTCGCGCCCGGCAGACATGTATTCAGCACGGGGAATCGGCTGGCACACATATGTTTACGTGTGCTCGTTGCCAGCAATAATCCCATATATTTTTTTTCCAATTCCGTCATGACGTAAGTAACCTATTTTTTATGTACACTTAATTAATTAATTAGCAAGAATAAGCACAGGATATGCCTGGCAGACATGGCGGTTTTGTTTTTTCCTCTTTCAAACCTACTTATTAATAATATTTTTGTTGAATTCCGCGATGACGTAGGGTTGTGTGTCGCTGGCTCTTAGACTATGTGTGGATTTGGTAAACCGCTTAAATGGGCAAAGTTAATTTTCTCTTTCAAAGTTTCTTATAACTCTAGAAATAGCGCAGTTATAGCCAAAAATCCGAAAAACTTTCGAAAATTTTCGAAAATGCGGAGGAACTCTTCATAGGTGTTTATGTCGTCCTTAATCACCTTCTGTTACACATCTTCGTAGTGCCTTGCTAAACGCCCAATTAAAATTGATTCTGCAAATGTTTGAATTTGGCATAATTTTCCATAACGTAGGTACTTGACCCGGCTTCCCAGATTTGTTATATTTTCCAAAATTTAATTATCTGCGGCCTTATTACTTCTCCCTTCTCACTTTTGTTTAATACATACCTTATGTCTAGCCTTGGGTAATCCAATATCATGATAGATGAGGTTAACCAATTTTACTATGCCTGCGTAATAAAAATTTAAACTTCTTTAATCGGCGAAAACAGTTCCATACCCGCAAATAACCTCGTGTGTTTCCTATTGTTCGTACTTCAAGGTCGAACCACCTCAACTCATCCGTTCCATAAACACTTGCCTTAGTTATCTTGGACATGGCGTTGTTAGTAAATAAAATCAATCAATTTGTGTAATAAGGCTTTTACCAAATATATGGCCTGATAAAACACCTTACGTCGGAATTACCATTAAATTTCTCACTAAGTACAACAAATAAAAAATAAAACTAACATTAAAGTGACAATTATGTGTCTTTTTCAACGAAATCTCTGTAGATATCTGTAAACCGGAAATTACGTTGACAACACGTAATTTTTTCAATACATGGTGACGCGCTCTCATCTTCGCCATTACTTCAATCTAGAGAAACGACACCTCCAGTAGTTTACACAATGTTTTGATTCAAAAAAATTACTTCTTTTTTGGGAGGTGAAAATGGGGGGGGGGGGCGATTCCTCAAGCAAACAAATTTAGGTTAGCAACTTTTTTGACAAATCCATGTTTTCCTTCTCTTGGCAGACATGTGGCTAATGCCTATTGAAATAGAATTGCACCATGTCACACAATGCAATGTTTATTGCATGCAATAATTTCATCTTGCAATTTCTTTCTGCAAGTTCTTGCGTATTGTATTGCATTATTGCTCCATGTCAAGCGACCTTTATGTTATATGTCTAAAAATAAAGATTTTAGATTACAAAATTACATAGTCGCTTCTAGTCTGGTCTAGTCATCCGCGATGTGTTTGGGAATTCCCACTCATTGATATTTATAGTCGTTGATGGATGCATTTGCACCAAATATTTTTTGTCATTTTGGTACATGCAGGGTGCAGTAATTTAAGATGAATACTTTTTTGACACCGGTTTGCTCGGAATTTCGTTTCCTGTATAAAACTGTACTGAAGTGAGAAGATGAAATTATGTGTGACATGTAACTTTATACATGCAAGTTCGCATTCCGAAAGGTGTTCGAATAAAGGAAATTCACAAAAACCACTGTGCACCTGTGAAACCCGTACAACAAATAGCGTGCAGCAACGCATAACGCAATACTTCCTCCGGCACTTTTTTGCCCTTTTTTTAAATGAACTGCGGAGTAACTCCTATTTGTTAAAAATAGATTGCGTGGACAAATAAAAATAGCCTTGCTTGTACAATTTCGTCTAATAAATAACGCGCTAATGAAATTGTCACACATTATTGTTGGAAGGTGAATTTCATCTTGGTGCTGATTAAAAAATCGAAATCAGTCTCTTCTATTGTTTTTTTTTTCGTTCACCTTGTCTCTAAAAGCAAACCTTGTCAACAGCGGTTTTCGTTAACCATAATTAGAAGCAAAACCGCAATTGCAAGCGAGGAAGTGGTAATGAGGTAAATTTTCCAAGATTTGAACGTGATCATGGGTCGTAGATTTGCATACTAATGTGCACATGTTAAAAAAAAGGTGCCAGAAAACAAAATGCATTTGTCGCAGTTAAAGAAATTGTGAGTGGAGCTAATCGAAAATCCATCCCTATTTCAGTAGGTAGCGAGAATAAAGTAGGTTGAAGAGTTTTCTTACGTTGATAAACAATAGAAGGGTAAGAAGTTTATATTTTTAGCCCCAGCCTCAACACTCATTTTTGTTGTCACGTGAGTCGAAACGCTGGAGTAGAAGTAGAACATTAGATTTACAATTACATACCTCATATACAATGTAGACCATTAATCTTGATTGAAAACAGATGTTCTACATATGGAATTTGTGACATTATTGTTTTTGAATTCTTATTGTATTTATCGTTAAATAATTTCGAAAAACTACTGTAAATTCATTTCACTACTAGATTTAACAAGTTAAAAAGTAATCGTAAACGATTTACATAAAGCGCATTTCCACTTGCATTCATTTCCCATTTGTAAGATGCAACTTCTGTTAAAATCGTAGAAATCCGGCCACAAATATGAAAGATAGCATTGCACATGGGCAATCCATTGTTGACGTGCTATTTCAATTTCAGTTTATGAGAAGAATTTCATTTCAATGCTTTTCTAAATAAGAAAGTTGGAACTGCGCATGCGCAAACCTCAATTTTAAAACTAATGTTAGATTTTCCTTTCTTCCAAGCGCCTAAGTATCAAATTTCACTTAAATTCTTCCATAAATAAAAAAGTTGGCACTGCGCATGCGCAAAACCAAATTTTGAAATTGGCGTTTGATTTTCTTTTATCCCAAGTGCCTATGTATCAAATTTCGTTTAAATTCTTCCATAAATAAAAAAAGTTGGCACTGCGCATGCGCAAAACCAAATTTTGAAATTGGCGTTTGATTTTCCTTTATACCAAGTGCCTATGTATCAAATTTCGTTTAAATTCTTCCATAAATAAAAAAGTTGGCACTGCGCATGCGCAAAACCAAATTTTGAAATTGGCGTTTGATTTTCCTTTATTCCAAGTGCCTATGTATCAAATTTCATTCAAATACTTCTATAAGTAAAAAAGTTTGCAATTCGGTTTATAAATGGTCGAGATGCGAAAAGGGCACTGTGAATTTTGAATCGATTCGATTCAACTTTTGGCATTGCGTATTATATGGCTAAAGCTATGCCCATATTGAATTTCATGCAATTCAGTTCATAACTAACGGAGATGTAAAAGCGATCGAACATTTCTAAACAAAAGTTATCGTTCACACGGACAGATAGATGGACAGACAGACAAAGGAACAGACGGAGAGACCAACCGGCAGGCGACAGATAGCAATGCAAAATTATAAACGATCTCTAGGATCGTTAATAAACGGCAAAAGTGTAAAATTATGGAACATGTAAAAAACGGTTTTTTTGTTTTTTTTACAATAACTTTTTTTGTAAGCGGTACAGAAAAAATTCCTTCCTTGGTACAAGACTCGACACCATAACGAACCAAATAGCGAAAAAAGTAGAACAATAGCTCTTAAGATAAAAAACTAGTAGCGTCGCAAAGTTAGCGGACGGACGGACGGACGGACAAAGTGGCCACAATAGCGCATTTTTTTTTAATTTTTGTGGAAATGCGCTAAAAAATGTATACTTACCTTACTATAAGGAAGCAACCGATAAGTTTATCCTAAACTTGGTTGGACCTCTAACATTGGGAATTAATCATGAATAAACATTTCAAACAATTAGGTACAGAATTTGCCCCCTTCAGACAGGAGGGTGTGGATGCTTACATTCGCAATTTCGGTTCTTTGCAAGTGGAGCATAGTTACGAGAAATAATAATTGTTTTTTCACAAACTTGAAGGGGTTATCAAAACAACCTTTAGACAAATTGAGATTAATGCCATCTTTTTCTGTATAGAAACAATCTTAAAATATAGGAAATGTATCATTTGATGTAAGTTCTATACGACAAAGGACGTGACATATTTATATACCCATACAACATATACCGATTGTTTAACTTATGGAGATCATGTTAAACGGTAAGTACCTAATTTTTTTTGCAAGTTTCGGTTACGGTAATATTTCCGGTGTTCCATTTAGTAATTATTCAATCATATCCACTCCTTTGCTTATTTAATATTCCCTAAAATTAAGGTGGAAGTTTAGTTTAGTTTAGTCTGTATCATTTGGACGCTCCATTTTTGACACATTCTCACAGAGAGACGCGAGATAGTTCCAACACTTGATTGCAGATCAAAAGATTTCTAAGCTGAGCACGGAATGCCTTCTTAGTAGTTCATAGATTCATTTTTTTTATGGAGATGTGAATAATGTATTTCAATTATTAAAAATATATACACACGACTATCTTTTGTTGTAAGGAAATGTTCGGACAATGAACTTTTTTATTTATCTCGGCTACATTCAAATTGGTTATCTGCTTGCACAATATGGGTTATTATTACTAGCGCACGAACAAGTCCAAACTTGTTCAAGACAACTTAAATGGTAATGTTCTCTTTTCTAACAAATAAGAACTCAGCACTCTGGTGGTACCCTGTTAATCTCCAATTCCAAATTGCAGGGAAACACAACGATAACATAATATACACACCGAATCCTCTTGAAACACCCGACCCAAGAGGTGTAGGATACGAATACTTTAAGGCTATGGAGAGGTATCGGGAAAGAATTGCCCAGGTAGAAAGTGCGATATAAGGAACTTAATGAGCTCTTTAGTGTTCATAGGTTGATGGACATACAAATAAGGAAGAAACTTACGAAAGTTTCCTGAAACGCTGTGTTAGAACAGCAATCACGATGAAAAATAGGGGAATTAAACCTGGAGATTTTGTATCCATGTGTACAGTGAACGATATGGATGCGTGCGTAGTGTACATTGCCGCGATATTTATTGGTGCGATAACGGCAAATGTTGACACCTCAATGTCAAGCAAAAAAATTGTCTCCCTCCTAAAGCCAGTTTCACCGAAAATGGTGTTCGCCACGAAGCAATGCGAACATTTAATGCAGGAAGTTGTATGTGAGTTTGGAGGGCAGATACTACTGGTGGTGTTTGGCAAAACGGAGAAGCACATCCCATTTACGGAATTTTTACAACGGTACGACAATGAGAACGATTTCAGGGTGTATGAGGCTGTCAATTTGGAGGAAACGGTTTTCGTTTCGTTCAGTAGCGGCACAACCAGCAGTCCTAAAGCTATATGCCACACTCATTCCTCAATGAGAGCCAGATACAGAAGGTGAATAATTGCAACCTGGAACACAGAATAACTAGTTGACTTTCAGTAAAAACGACGAATGTAAAACGTATGCAGTATTTTATTCACCATGTCGGGCTTTATTCAAAAGATCGGTGCACGAAACCATACTGAACGGCTTCAGGAGGATCCTTTTCCATAAAATCAGTCACGGAGAGCCTTGGAAAGTTTTGAATTATAAAGTAGACTACATGCTGCTTTCGCCGGTGACTAGTGAGGTGTTTTTGAAGTACAGGAAACCGCCGCATTTCGATTTAGGAAATTTAAGGTTGTTGCTGATTGGTGGTAACTACGCATCTAAAGAATTTTTACTAAAGCTTAAGAATATGTTCCCTAAAACAATTGTACGTCCGAGTTATGGCCAGAGTGAAATATTTAGTACCGTTGCCGCTTTTCCAGAAGATCACCGTACAGACACTCTTGTGAGAGATTTTCCCACTTCAATTGGTTTACCTAGAGAGGGGTTTTCTTATAAAGTACGTCGCCCAATCTTTTACAATCGATAATTTAATATCGAACTGCACTTTCAGGTGGTGGATGCGGAAACCGAAGAAATTTTAGGACCAAACCGTCAAGGTGAACTCAGATTGAAAACTAAATACCTGATGAAGGGTTACCTAAATTACGAATCACCCGACCTCTTTGATTCTGACGGTTGGTACAGAACTGGCGATTTAGCTTACTACAATGAGCACAGATGTTTCTTCATTACTGGGAGATTAAAAGATACATTCAAGTACGGCAACAATCACGTTTATCCCAGAGAAATAGAAGAAGTTCTTTTAAGCCATCGCTCCATTCAAAATGCGGCAGTTCTTGGTGTGGAACACGAAGTAGTCGGATTCCATCCAATAGCTGTGGTTAAGTTGAACGATGGGGAAGAATGTGTAACACCAGAAGAGATCATCGAGTACGTAGATCAAAGGGTTGAGGATAAGAATCGCTTGAGAGGGGGTGTGAAATTCGTCAAAGAATTTCCATGGACACCTACACATAAAATACAGAAGTCCAAATTGAGAGAATGGATTGCAAAAGGGATCATTTAGGTCTTGTTTTATTTGTATCAAGAAAAATTGTGTAACTAATAAATATAGGATATGTACAAAGATAAATCATGAATCATTTCTGAAGAGAGCGACAAACCTCGCTCATTTGTTTATCCCGTGAAATACATTTTTTAGCAAACTTAATACGCAAACAAACACATTGCAAATGGGTTGCCAAATAGTATATTAAGTATGGAGAACGGTAAGGGATTTTTACCGTTCGAAGACAATTGTTTGGAGGAGGAGCGAAGCGACGACTCCAATTATTGTCTGAGAACGGTAACCCTTAACGTTCGACGTGCTTATAACATTTTTTGCGCGATCGAAATTAAAATTATCCAACCAATATAACTATGCACTAAGAAATTAACGAGCAGAATAAATCGAAATGTTCGAAGTGGTATGGTGTACATCACTAGGCAACCAGTTTAAATGTCAAAATTGAAATTAATAATTTCATAAAAATGTGCATGTGTCTGATGTAGTTTACTAGCTTTGCACTTCCTTTATGACTTTATGAGCGTCTTGCTATAGGAAACAACAGCACAAATTGTACGTTTAATGTACCTAACAATAATTAAAGATTAAATGTAATGTCAGACTGTTGATTTTTAAAAAGGCGTCGGTAAGTATTTTTGCTGTTCTGTTTTTAGATCGGTAAGTAATTTTGGCGTCGTCGTAATCATAGCAACTGGTAAATTCTACGTACTGTCATGGAAACACCCATGGTAAATAGTCAGAAATGACCGATCGCGCAAAAAAGAATTAAAGAATTCCATCTGTTTCTATTACATAGAGAGACCCTATGCGTGACAACAGCTGCTTGTGGTATGCGCATCGATGTAAGAGAGTGAGCATGCGCTCTCTCCATGCGTTAGAAGCAGATAGATATATTAATTGAATGCATTAGTAAGAGCCAATGTTTCGTAGCTCATCGTGCATAAAATAATCTGAACAAATTGTGGCCAAATTGCAACAGACACGCGGTCCTATAGAATTATTAAGTTCCAACACAGAATTGAGATTCGGGTGTTTTTAAATCATTACTAAACGAGTCGCTTGCATTATTACGAACTGCTTTTCGTGCTTTAATCTAAGTGAAAGCGACACACCACACGCTCGCATCTAAGCAAAGGCAGCCTGATAGACAATACAACCGAATGTAACGCGTTCCAAACTATCGTGATAGTAACACACCTGAAAGTCTGAAACCGTGTTAGCTTTCTTCGAAAGTAGACAATGGTGCCTACTAAGCATTTTCTACGGTATCACCTCGCTAGATTAACCCGACGACCGAACCAACCACAACGACATCCAGCTCTCCATCTTTTGGGTCAGATTTTATTGGCTTTGTATGTCATTTTATGTTTGCCGGGCGGTGTAGGCTTTGGGGTCAGGATTTGCTCACTTCCTTTCGTTGACTAGGACCTTTATTTTCGGTCTAATACGAACGACCGACCAATAACAGTACCCGAGACCAAAAGTCTACGGGAACGGGGAACTGGTTTTAGGAGATGTAATGTCCTGTATTTTACAGAACCAAAATTATAAGTCCACGCTAACAGTTGCAGTCAAATGTTCTGTGATTCAGGGAAGCAGAAGCAAGCGGAAGGAGATAACTAATCTCTTCAGTTAAATTTAATAAAAATTACGTTGGCAGCTCACATGTTATCAACTTAAATTCAATGACCAATAATTGACATACGGAAGCATAATTCCGAACGGCTTAATTTTAATTATCCCAATAAAGTGCAACGTAACATTACAACGTCTAGATTAATTATGTCTCTCCCTGAATCACCCTTCCCAGCGAAAATTTATATTATGATTATAAAGGCTACTTACAAATACTATACTCTAATTCAATTAATTAATCTAAATTAAAAAGGATTTACTTTGTAGTGCAGTATTTCAATAGTGAATTCGCACTTTGTGTACATTTTTAATAACGCTCCACTTATTATACGGCCAAATTGCACCATTACTTTACTAAGTAAGTTGCCCGCTAAGTTACACATTTCTAGATTTTTCCTTTGTCAACGGATATCTTGGACTACCCACGCGAATGCTTTCTTTACAAATTAAAGATTACGTAGTTTGGTGAGAGTAGCACCCTACAGATTGAGCAAAAACTGTAAGTGCAGGACGTGCTGGGAGATTCAGGAAGAAGGTTGTGACGTTATTTTCTTTACCGTGTAATCTTTGCTTCTGCTTACATTTGAATTACTATGTGGAATCCTTCTCGAATAACATTATGCGAACTCTTACCTTTATATAGCAATCCTTACCCCATCTAGGTGTTCACATTATAACCCGATCCTTTATTTGCGATATAGTTTTCTTTTAAAAAACCTTTTGTCTAGTTTTCTGTTGATTGGCGCGGTTATCTTCTCCCACTCACTGTCGACGCGCGCAGTCCTTGTTGAAGAACTCGATTCGATCTTGACTTGTATTTGAACTACACGCCATTACACTTACTTGACATATTTGTCTACCTTGATGGGATTAAATAGTGGTGTTGTATTAAGATTAGTGAAGTTGTTCTCTTATCATCTTACTTCCAATTTCGCTGATGACGCATTGCTGCGGATTTATCTTACAAGTTTAAGGCCGTTTTGCGGCTACTTTCGTACTCCCTAAGTTTTCTTACTTATTATTTTGGTTTTACCAATTGCTTCCTGACTGTACATTGATATTTTGACGTGGAAACGCGAATACCCGATTTTCCATATGGTGCAATAGAATTCCATTGAAGTTTCGACGCCATTACAATCAAAAACGCTCTACATATTTCTACCTTACCGACTGAAGAATTGACTGAAGAATTACCGCCATTTCGGGCCGGTTGCACAAAAGCAGTTTAAACCTCGTTTAGATTAACGCAATGGATTAAGACATATGATTGGTTGAAATTTGACGTTTTATCAAATTTCGACCAATCTTAGACCATAATCCACTGGTTAATTCCAAGGGAGGTTTGAACTACCTTTGTACAACCGGCCCTTCATGTGAAACCGATATTTTAACTGATGACCCAATTTTACGAAGTTCGTTGACCTACGATTCATTCTTCCGAAACGCAAGAACTTAATTAACGAGACGTGTGGAGTTGGTACTGTGTAAATTTTTAATTAACGTTATGTATTTTACTTTGAAGAACTTGCTCGTGTAAGTTTGTTTTCATTTGAATTGATAAGATTGCTTTGTCATTGAAGATAGATTCAGTTATTTTATTTGTACATTTTATAGTATTTTTCTCTTAAAACTTCATGTCACTTTTTGATATCTCATACCGATTGTGAAAACCAACCCTTAGTCGAACCAAATTTTATTTTGTTGTAAAGTCATTTGAATTTTTGATTCTTTTTAGTATTGATTGCAATTCTACGTACAAGAATAACCATTCGTGTCTTACGTTAACCATTGCTTATGCGATATATTGTGCAACGCGAATCATTGCCCTTCTTATATTTTTTTTGTTTTTGTGTCTGACTGTTTCAGATTTGCAGTTTCGCGTCCTCTGAGCTCGGAAGGTTGCGACCGGAGTTCAAGGTAAATTTAGTTATTCTCGTCGTTCTTCCCTTTTAACGTTTGATTACATTTTGGTTGTTGATACTAACGAGTTGTGATTATTACTTTGTTTGAAAGTCACTTAATGATTATAGCTCCGTTGTTTCTGCGGAAGCCCTTTTGGATAAATATTTTCCCAGACTACGTGTTGGCTTCTCATTTGTTTTATTAGAGATTATTTTAAATTCCCAGTTTGATATACTAGATCGATATATTACAGTGTCAGATTTGTGATATTTTGAGATCTTTGTTATTTATGACATCAAATACTGTTTGTTTTTCCCCATAATTGTGTATTCCTTTGAGTTTAGTAAGACGAGAACAAGGATCTCTTGGTCTGCCTTGTTAATCCCTTTAGTATTCCTCTCTCTCTAGATTCATCAAAGACTAAGTGGCGCCTATCCGAATTACTTTTACTGTTTCCTTCCCTTTTTGGCTTATTTGTGTGTGTATAGAAGAACCCCATTTTCACCCCGACCCACCTCTACTTTGCCTGAGCTTACCGTGTGCTTATCTAAGGTAATTTTCTCACGTTGGCCCAATGTGAACGTAACAAGGTCACAAATGCAGACGAAGCGATGTTTCAACTGCCGAGAAGTAGGGTATCTCCGGGATAAATCCCAAAAAATAAAAAAAATGCTATGTACGTAAGATAGAAGAACCCCATGGACTATGTCATGCCCCAAATTCAAGAAATGCTGTCTAGTCTAGTCAGTTCTCAGCGATAACTTACTGTGATATCAGTTTTGGCAGTGATATCTTAATCATGCTTTGTAATTTTTCCATGTGTACCTCACAAACAAAGTAGTGCAAGCAAGGCTACCTTCGGGGGTACAGTTTACACTGCGGATCCAGGGGGGGGGGGGCGATTCCACAAGGTCTGGTTCTGGGTTCTGGTGCTGGAGCCGTAGACCGTGCCGAGCAGGGTGCACAGAATTTGGTACGCGACCTAACGATAGTCGCTGCCGGCCAAAGACTCGAAAAATCAATATTATACCTTGAAGGTGGCGGATGCATTGGAAGTAAAAATAGACTGGACCTATAATAAGGAAGTAAGAGGAATACATGATGTGATACCTGAGTGTTGTTTACTTGGAATTCTGAAAAGGCCACTTGAGCCGCCTAAGAACCGCCAACGCCTGGAAAAAAAGGCCTGCTAATTAAAATCATATCTATTCCATAGACTAGGCACAGCTCTGTTCAATAGAAATAGGCCCGTTTAATACAATTATGTTCACTTAACCGACCTGTCGCCAAAATAGAACTGAATCAAACGACCTTGCCTGGGCAGAACTGAAGGTCAAAGTGGGCTGAAACCGGCCTTGCTCACCTACTCCTATTTATAATCAATAGTAGGGACGCTGCTAAATGGGGTTTTACTCGAGCGTTGTAGGGACCTATTGAACTTTGTAGATTAGATGGACGAAAGAAAACAGTTATTTAATGTATATCCCTCCACGGGTGGGGAGCGCGTCTACATAT